TTTGGCGAAGTGTTAACCCTTGTATCGTTGCAGATTTCATATTGTGCAAGTGAATGTGGTGCTCAATTATGAAAAATTTCACCAGGATCATTTTTAAGTAATAGAGGCTGTTCATTTAGTGTACCTACCCCCTTACAGCAGTTACATATATTGAATATCATATATATAAAAATGGTCAGTCTTGTTATTGTTGCTCTTATTTGCTTGTTAGGAAACATTAATGTTCATTTCAGTCTGTTTCATAACACTTTAGGAAAACTCCTTGTAGGAGCTTTAACTTAACAACTTTAACTTTTACCCAACAACACTGATTACTATCAAATCTGGACTTAAACTCAGATACTTTGTCACCTGTAGTTGACTTTCACTTAGACACAAACTGTCATTACTTATATGTGGTCAGAATTTGGTCCTTTATGACTGAAAATATGAGTTTAAATTGATTAGACTCGGAGATAAAAAACTAATACAACATAGCAGATGTCCGCCACTGGGAAAAAACAAAAAGCTGGATGACGAAGTGAAAGAAGGGTAAGACAAAGAGGCAGGAAAAGAAGACTGTAAATCTCACGACTCTTCTCCCTCTGCTTTTCTCCAGTCAGCATCACTTTGCCACCCTCTCTCTCACGTGCTTAATCACTCAGTCACTGTGCACCCCAGACACAAGCTCCAACGGGGGGAGAGGAAAGATGTCACTATTAATGTGTGCCACAGTAAAAACACAGCTAAGCCTCTGCTGAGGTTACTTTTGATTAAGTAGTAAAGGTTAGGCTCTGCAGTAACTTCCATGACTTTTGACCTACAAGGTAAGATATGGAAGAGGATAAGGGCCCTACCACTGAGACACAGTAGTTTTTTTTAAAATTAATATTCTGAGTTTAACAAACTAGCTAAACTAAAACATGACACGAATCTCACAGGACATTTGCCTTTCCAAATCGCAAACTGTAGACGTATAAACGGGTGAATGCTCAGCTACTAATGTTACACAAGTCCTTCCATTTGAATAACAAATACTAGACAGTCGTCCCCTCCTATGTCGCAAAACAGGTAGAACATAGACTCTCCATTGTGGATGAAGCAGATGGCCTTTGACAGAATCATGCGTATGCCCACTGTTTTACACTTGGGAGAAAAAAGTCAGATTAATCTCAGAATTCTGACTTTTTTCTTAGAATTCTGACTGTCTGCTTCTTTAATCTCAGGATTCTATCTTTTTTTCTCCTGTAATCTCAGAATTCTGACTTATTTCTCTGTATTCTGAATTTAAAGTCGGAATAATATCAAAAAATCTCTATCTGACCTCTTTTTTAATCCTTTTCCATAGTTAGACTATATACGTTTGTCGTCATCACGGTTTCTTTGTGCTGTTGTTTTATCAGCCAACCACTTTTGTGTTACTACATCACATGTTTTTATGTGATTCATTCACACAGACATGCAGACAGACAAGTGCCAATGAAAAACACAGACAGAGACAGACACTAACAGGTAACAGAGAGTGAAGACTCAGAGGATGAATGGTGAACAGTATACTGATACTGCACTGTAATGAAAGTTTTGAGCTTTCACTCTGTTGATGACCTTAGCATATTCAAATTAGACTCCAGCTTTAATCATGAATCAGTTTAATGATAGCAGATGTGAAAAAAAGACATAATGTACAATGTAAATAATTTGCCTTATGTGCTGTAACTCTGTGTCTTTGTGCACTGTAAATATTTCTATTCTTGAACTAATATTGGTCTTATAGCCTGAGGTTTCATACTAAAGCTCATGGTTTACATCACAACATTCTCTATGATTGGAACATTACGTACTTCTATAAGGGACTTTCAGTCGGTGCCAATTAATGTGTGAACTTTTGTCTAAAACAAGGCTGTTTCTCAGCTAGTCGGCTAACGCCTTACACTTTCTGATTTGACATCTTTACTTTCTCTCGAGTAGAGCTGGCTGATATTTCATCCACGATGTTCAGGATCTTATTTCTGCATAAAAATATTGCCTCGGTAATAGAAGCTGGTAAAATCACTTTATATAGAGACTACGAGGAAAAAAAAATCAGTCTTTCCATGAAGCCCTCTAGGAAATACAATTTCAAAAAAAGGATATTTATACCAAGATTGATCTTTGTGTGTCCTGTCTCAGTCATGACTGACTGTCAAACCAACACATTTAGAAAGTTTTCCTTAAGCCAGACGAAAATTAAAGTAAACATCCAGACCAGGTGAGCTGCACACACTTTTTATGTCTCACATTAGTACTATAACAATCTATTTGGACGTCTTACTCTGTTGTGTTCACATTTGCTCACTCCGCTCATCTGCCGAATGATAAAGTATGTGTCCCTGCACATATAATGGTTTTCATTTGGCATGCCCTGTCTGCACGCCTTCCTCTCAGCTGCTGTCAGTCCTCATTATTGACACATACAAGCAAACAGAGTTAGTTACTGACATGGCGCTCTCTGCTGTGTGTATGTTAAGCATTGAAGCAGCATGCTATTAAGCTAGCCCTGAAGGGAGAGGGAGAAGAGGTAGAGCGAGATTGTCAGGTTGTGCTACAGCCGAACGCCTGCTAATGCCATGACTGATTTACATGGACTTTTATGTACCCATTAGTGCTTCGGTGTGTTCTGTATGGACTAAATGTGTCTGCGTGAGTGTTGCTCTGCCCTGCAGACTCAAAATGTTCGCTTAGCATCATTCATCTTGATGAAGAACACCAGTAGGATTCTGGCAGATGTGTAGTCTCATCATTTTCTCGTGTCAGAGGACGGTTGTTCATCTTTCCATCAAAGATAAACTGGTGTTCACATGCTTAGATTGAATAAAAGGCAGATTTATAATCAGCAGCAGATGAGGATTAATTTTTAGTTTGTCATAAACAAAGAATATCCATCGTAAAGAAAATATCAACTAATTAAATAACTATGGTTAAAAAAGTTTTTTAGACCAATTTTCTGGTTGTTTAAACTGCAATCAAATTTCTGACTTACCATCTGTCTCATTGTACGCAAACACTCGAAAACAATCAAATAAAAAGAGGTTTGTCTTTATGACTGAGCCTGTCCTTTAGTAAAATTTGAACTAGCTGTCAAAAGTCACATCCTGATTTTTGACAGAACTGTCAAACAGCCTTACAGGCCAAGAACAGGATCAACATCATCCAGTTATTCAGGTTTTCTCGATAAAACAACTCATCTTTCTTTCCATTGAAGTTTAACATCATCTTTGATTCAACAGTTTTCACAGAATCATTACTTTTTAATATTTGCAGATAAATATAGTAGCTTTTCATTGCATGAGACAAGGCTGGCTTTATTGTTGGCTACAGTAAAGCGTGGATCTGCAACTTGAAAGAATGTGTACTCCTCTATGAATTTAATCCCTGTGAAACTCCTCTCTTTGTATGTATCCTCAGTTGTAGCCATGAAAAAAGCCTCTCATCCTTTAAATGTCTTGCCACCATTCTTTGCCTCGGCAGCTTCTAAAGCTTGTCCTTTCTTTGAAACTGGTGAAAGAACATCTCTTCAAACAACTCTCATATGGACTATTGGGAATAGGAATGGAAGGGTATGATAATTCTACCTCTGGGTTATTGTGACCAAAATAATCATGGTCTTTTTGTAATTATCGCGGTATTTTTAAAAATGTTTTCGAAGGCATTGACGACGGCATTTTTGATGCTTTTAATTAGCGCTAAACGATGCCTTGTTTTCATCATTTCATCATATCTAGACAGGATTGCTGTCTTCAACTAAGCGTTCCCTCAACATTCCTACAAAAATATGCCGATACTTTCGACTTTGTCCTTTCAGAGGGCTGATGGATGTCTTTGGCGTTGTCGTCTTCTCCTTCCATCATGATTCCATTTCAAACTTAATAGAAAGTTTAAATGCAAATTGTCGGCTACACAGTTCGCCTGCGCGGCTAATTCAGGAAACTTGGATGAAGCTGGGATGATCAACACAGGGTTTCCCCAACATGGAATTAATCGTGGCGCACTGCCACAGGTAAATAAAAGCCACCACACCTTAAAAATTTCTTAAATGGCTCTTCCTTGGACTCATATCAGTATATTTACATGCGGCGCATCCCGGAGCGCACACGCCAAGTGTTAGCATTAGAGAGTTATTGTTGGCGATCACACAGCTAATTAAATAGTGAGTTATTGTCCTCCATCACACAGCTAATTAATAAGGTAGTTATCGTCAAACAAAGACCGAGACCGTTTTTTAAAATCGAATCGGTAATCGTTATCATCAACATTTTTATCTTGATTTACTATTACACCGGTTACTGTTACATCCCTAGATGGGAATATGAAATTTTTGTGATGAACGTACTGTAATATTCATACTTTGCTGGTAGATAACCTGAAACTGGACAACAACTTGACATTTATTTATGCTTTGAAGCTTTTATTCAAACATTATAGTGGATATGGAGCTTGTGGAGTAGTTATCATCCATTTATCGTTTTCGAGGTGAACTGCTCAATATATCGTGATTTTGATTTGAGGCCGTATCGCCCAGCCCTTCTCAGTGGTAAGGTTGTCAGTTGGATTCCAGCCACTCCAGTCCACATATTAAACTGTCCATGGGTATGACGCTAAACCCTTAATTTCTCTTGAGCAGCATAACCAGCAGTGTGTGAATGAATAGGAATTAAATTAGTTAGCACTAATGGGCACTTCACATAGCCTTCTCCGCCGCTTACAGTGCGACGCTGTCTGCTGTTACGCAGGTTGCCTTTTGTCCCCCTGTCTCTGCGCGCCGTGGAGCGTGTTTGAGCAAAATAAGGGCAGACGTTTCCAGCATGGGCAGGCGGAAATATCCCAGATTGTCGACAGTGAACCGTTCTCCCTTTCCGTCATCTCTACTCCTCCAATAACACCAAACCCGCCGGGGGAGTACAATAATGGATACAATCACTGCAGCAGCGTCACAATCCTGTTTGAGGGGATGATTTTCTTCATGGTTCAGTTGTGAGATGTCCTGAGAGTCGCTGCAAAAAAAAAAAAGAGAAAAGTGTGAAGCCTTCCAAATCAGTGTTAATGCGAGCACTTGGGTCTGAGGACCAATGTTACTGTAAAAAAATGTGTTCCCTAGGAGAGCAGCAGACACACCCGGAGCTCTGTGGAAATCATATGAGCTTAGCATCAGAGTAAAGTTTGAAAAACCTCTGAGTCATGAGCTTGTTTTTCCTTTTTTTTTTTTTACACTTACATGTTCGCACATTCACACAGTCTCTACCTCGTGTCTGAAAAATGTTGTCTGGAGTTGAACATGAAAGTTTTCAGCGCTGGTAAAAGCTCAGCCAACTGGAAAAAACGACCCAGGTCACAGTGACGACTGCAACGCCGAAAAAAGAGCTGAAAGGTGAAAACGCTCTAAACTGAAGCCGAACTGCGTATGTGTGCATGAGTGTGTGTCTCGGTCCCTTGGTGCAATGCTTCAAGGCTAAAACATCAATTACTCGTGATGAAAAGGTACAGTGGGGTTTGGTGGGGGGTCGGAGACAAAATGCAGAGCTAAGGTCAAAGGCGGTCAGCTGGAATGTGTCGCGGTGCCGCCCTGAGGCCTGGCTCTGCAGGACGTGTCCATCCTTAACTCTTCCCATCAGCCCCATCAGCACAGGTGCAGGCATCAGCCCTGAAGGACCGTCCCCGGTTCTAGGAGCATTGGAAGACTCTGCAAGTGTCTGTCTGTGTGCGTGTGATTCCCCAGTCGCATGAGAACAGGATGTGCGAGTTGTGTGGGCTTCAGGAGACACAGGGTCACTGAGTGTTTGTTTGTGTGTATCTGCAGTGTCAGGGCTGCTGTGAGAGTGTGTTGCGTGACAGCCTGAAGGAGATGTATGTGTGTTTGTGTCTCCGTCCAGGGTTATGCAGGGACGTTGTGTGTAATTTTTGGTGCCTTTTTCTGCCAAAGAGTCTGAGGCATTTATGGCAAACGTTGGACGGAGTGAGGAAACTGCAGATTTGTGGCGTGTTTACCTTTTCTGGTTTTAATTAGTCAGTTGGAAGAAGCAGCACCGTTAGATTACAACAAATTAGAAAGCATTAGTAAATGCCACTGCAGTTTAATTTCTTGGTTTGTCTATAGTTTACTTTTTAATTAGTAAGCTTGTTTCTAAATAGGCTTAAAAAATTGTCTGCATTGACAGATTGTGATCCCTTGTTACAATCTGAAGGAATTAGAAACGTTTTCAGCCATAAACAGTAAATTTCATTTAATTTGTGTAGAAAAAAAAATAAGGAAAAACAACCGAAACAAAAAGTCTTTGCCCAAACTTTTCGCTTAATTCTGTCCCTGACTGTTAATTGTCGAGTGACCTCAGCTATTTTTGCCTCTGGATTTGGGATAACTGCTGAATAGATAGAAGTGAAACTGGACGAGCAAAACTGATCCAAGAAAAAGAAATCTGCACTCAAACTCAGACAGTCGGCTTTATTTTATGTTGACACATGCCTGTAAAAGCAGAAGCATCTGCCATAAAATGTCTTTCTTCCTTCTAGAGCTGAGCAACATGGCTTCGCTAATATTGCAATACTTAATACATATACTGGTATTTTGAAATCTCCTCTGAATCTCTATATAAATGTTAAATGTAACCCTTTGATGCATGCCAAGAGAGAAGGTGATTTAAGCGCAACCTTCTAGTGGATTTGTCTTCATTTCCAATCAAAAAAGGGGAAAACTAACCCGCAATTAAGTGAAATTGATCAAACTTTCCATTTCAAACCACACAGGTGCACTCATAGAAATAAATAATTGCACGCTATTAATGGCAAGACCCTCAACTAAAACAAAAGAGTGAATTAAGCAAGAATCCTTGAACAAGGCGCTTTTAAACCACAGCAATTATAATTAAATTTTTGCTTGATCAAGATTATAACAACAGATAATTTAAACATGGTTAAATTTCTCTTTTGTCCTCAGTAAAAAAATGTATTTTTACTGATTTTTCATGCCATTTCACTGTATGAAGATATAGGATGTGCAATGGAGCTGGGTGTACATAATAGAAAAAGGGTGAGCTTTAATAATGTCGATTCATTTGGTGAGAAAGGAAGTATTTTATCCTTCCTCTATACTGAAGAAGACACAAGTTATTGTGATCAATTTGTCATTTACAGAAATTAATCTGTTTTAATGCTTTGTATCTTTTCTTTGAACGCACATCCTGGTATAATACTTGATCAGTGTCTCCACATGCTGTTAATAACAGAGGGAGGGCTGAACACCGAGCAGTGTGTTAATGAAGGGCAATTATGAGACATGACCTTGATTTGTGTGTTAATGACCTTGATTTTTAGTTCAACAATAAACCACTTAAGTGCCACATCAGGAACAGCGGACTTCATATTATCAAACAAAAGTTTCGTTAATTGTTAATTAAAAATAATGAAATGATGAAAACTAGAATTGAAAAAAAAAACATTTTGTTAACTGAAGTAAACTATAATTAAAGGAAAAAAAACAATAATTAACTGGAACTGTATTGTGTGTTTACAAAACTAACTAAAATGTATAAAAATTTCAGATAATTATATTTCGTTTTGTTCAATTTCGGATTGATATGAAATTGATCTATTTTACTCAAGCAATTTTACGTGAGCTAGCAGCGCCGTAAGACACCTCACAGTTCATCTCTTCTTGTTTACAAACTAATAAAAACTAAACTAAAACTAATTAATTAGAAGAAATAAAAACATAAAAACAAAAACAAACGCTCTAAAACTAATTAAAACTAACCGAATTAGAAAAAAAAAAAGTAAAAACAAAATAAACTAAACTAAAACTAATCACTTAGAAAAACAAAACCTAACAAAAATCTGCTCTAAAAACTAATTAAAACTAACCGAATTAGAGGGGGGGAAAAAAAGTAAAAACACAATAAAACTAAACTTTAATAAAAAAATCCAAAACTATTATAACCCTTTCTATGACTTGATCACTTCAGTTTGTGATCACACCACTGATGCAGACTGTGTTTGAGGGAGCAGCCTTCAGCTTGTGTGGGCAGAATAATCATGGCTATATGTTTTGTAAGGTGTAATGAAGGTAGACAGGTACCATGATAATTTGCATCTGATTTGGGAAAATGAGATCCAATCAGGATTGGTCACTGAGGACCCATGGTCGATACTAAATCTGCTTAAAGCTGGCCTCTTGGATATCCTGATCACCGAAAACCACATGCTGCAACATATGAGCCACCTCTCTGAGCACTCAGAGAAATGCCTCCACTTTTTTCTCTCCTGTGTCCTCACCCCTCTTCTCCTAATGGAAAAACATGCATGATGATACACTATGGGAGGGGGAGAGTACTGCCTGCTGGAAGAGAGTAAGAGAGGAGAAATGCAAGCTAATGGCTTAAAACTCTCAATATGTAGTTTGTACCCTATAGTTGAAGTAGTTTACATCAGGTACATGTTCATATTTCATAGGTTTTTCACACACTTCTACTTTCTTCCTATCCGACCTGCTGAGAATGACCACGTAATATCATTTCTACATATAAAATGATATTATAGATAGCCACTGGCATGTGTAACTAAAAAGAAAGGAAGGGAAAAAACAATCTCTTAAGAGGGTGCAGAGGGAGCAACTGCATTTAATTTGTTGGAACACAAAGAGAAAGTCTTTCATTACTGCATGAGTCACCTTGATTTCTATATATTTATTTTGTTGTTATCAGGACAAACAGCTAGAGGCTTGTTTGGATGAGGCCAGTTTTGTCTGCACTTCCCCTGATAAAGAATACAAATATTGTGAGTTTTACTCTAAAAGCATACCAAGTAGTTCCTCTTGCACAGTGACCATAATTTTTTATACTTTTTCCAAAAACTTTTTATTAAAAACTTTAAACTTCTCAATATTCAGGAGTTGTTACAGGCTCTAGTGTCCAAACTGAGAGGAAGGGATAGGAGGGCAAGTTTTGTGTAAACGTTGGAGAGACTTCAAAGAGTTCATTGCATCAAATAGGCGATGACTCTGCGTTTGGAAAAAATCGGACCAGTGGATGGACGTAGGCTTCACCCCTCTATGCCTCAAGATCTCAGACGAAATACTCAAAATCCTCAGCTTACCATGAGCTTTCTCTTCAGTGCACATATCCATTATGATAGCTATTTTTGAGCACTGTTAGATTCAATGTATGCACCGGTACACACGCTTCTTAACAGATAGCTGCACAGGGACGGTCAGCGCTGCGGTGCAAAGAGGCGAAAAGCAGAATCTTTTGCAGCACAGGGGTGACGACCGAAATAAAAATAGAAGATAGACGTTTTCAGAGTTCAAGTGGAGATGACCGGGTTGAGAGCGTCCAGTGAGACTCATGGCCTTTGATGTGCTTTTGTCTCGGCTGCAGCTACTTTTCTGTCGAGCTTTGGATTCACAGATGAATGTCCTGTTTGAACTAGTTTTAACTATCCAAGGCAATTTAAAACATAAGGAGCAAAACAAACAGAGAAATCTACTTAGCGGTGCCCTTAAAGGAAGTGCAGACAATGGTCTTATTGCTTCAAACTAATCTACGAAGAATTAATGTGCTTACATTCCACTGAGTAATTTTTTTGGGGGATAATTTGTAGACTTGATTTTGGTTTTCTTTTACTTTCTTATTTAACTGAAAAACTGAAGCTCGCGCAGAAGAGCGCTGCCAGGGTAGCCCTTGGTTGTTCTTATAGAGCGAATGTGAATGAGATGTACACCACCTTAGGGTGGTTAAAGGTACAGAACGAGCTAAATATAAATATTCTCTAGCCTGGCTGGGCCATCCTGTTGTGTGAATCACTTGCCGTTCCTTCACACAACAGTCTGGACTTCGGCCCACTGGGAGCGTGTATTAGCGATCAGAAAATAACCGGGCTAATCAGTGACTGGGTTTCCACTGTTTTCCCCGGACAACAGGGAAAGGCAGCACCTGATTGGTCCATGTGTAGATGGTGACGGCTAACACATGCTGCGGGACTTTTCAAAGCGCCGTTCATTCAGAACGCCGTTAATTCTGCAGTTGACTTTGCAAAATCGGCAGAAATCGTTTATATCCGCAGAAGACGTCAGATATAAACAAGCACCGAAAACACAGCAAATGAGCAGTAGGTATTATTTTAAAAGGACTTTCAAACAAAACTGTATGTATGAATCAGCATAGATTTTGGAGTGATTTTAATGTTTTAATGTTGTGAAGACTCATGAATTGAATCTGTAATTGTATTTATTATTAATTAATTGTGAAACTGTGATTGCATTGTGATTTTAAGTTTTTGGACCCCAGGAAGATTAGCAACCACTTTGTGGAAGCTAATGGGGTTCCAAACAAATCAAAAACAAAGGGCCGAAGGGGGGGCGGGGCGCACTCCGCTGACTAGTGGCCTGCTGGACGGCCGGGGGCAGCCCTGCTGGACTGTGTCCCAGGTGTGGGAAAGCTGGTAGGCTCCTTCATCCTGGTTTACAGTCATAGGGGCCCGCTTCCTGATTTCGACCGCCTCTTTGATCCACCGATGGAACTTGTTGCTTTCCGATCTGATGACCTTGGCTGCATCCCAATTCATGAGCTGGTTTTCTCTCTTGCAGTGGTCTGATTTTCAGATTTTCCTACATTGCTTTCTTTCTTGTTGAGCGTCCCAGATGTTTCCTTTTCACATTCAAATTTATCATCGACAGGCCAAATGAACCTCTTTAGTGCTTTTTCTCTTCTTTTTGCTATTTTAGACATTATCTTACGCTCCAGGAAACAAAGGCAGACATTTTCCACATTCTAATTTTTTGAGAAAATAATCAGTTTGTTAATCAATAATGAGAAATGGGTTCTATCTGACACCTCGGAGCAACTCAAGACTAGTTGAATTTTCTTTCCTGTGGTTGTTTTCATGTTCCCATCTCTAATGTGCAGCCAGTAAAGTATCTGTATGTCTAGGTGTGGTGGGGTGAATGCATTTCTGTGTATGTTTGTGCAAACCATATGGTGACATTTGCGTTAGTCATTATTCACACTGACTTCCCGTAAGCCCCTGCAGAACCGCGGCACTTTGTACTCTGTGGCATTGCACTACAATATTTATGAATGCTTCACATGCTTCAGACACCAGATTGCAGAGTGATTCATTCACTGCAGAGAAACACATATTCACATATTGTGCATGTTTACTTGAAGGGCATGCATCTCATTGATAGACAAAAACAGGATGTGCTTGAGGCCAGAGAGACTGTCGAACACACTATTTCATTTCCTTATCCATACAGTCTTTAACAATGTAAATTAGAATGTAAACATTCACAGAGGGAAGTTTAGATCTTTGAAGATCCCCCTCAGATATATGCTCAGCGTGTCAACAATGTGCAGACAGAGGAAGAGATCTCTATCTTAATATAAAAATGTCACCAGTTCCACCAGTATTCCTCCATTTATGACAAAACTTTAGCTGAAAACATTAGCGTCGTGTCTCTGCTCCGTCGAACCGTTGTCTACCGCTCACAGGATGCGTATTTGGAGCGTGACTTTGTTGATTATAACAAATAACAGCCCAGGTTACTAAGTGAAGTATCAGCTACTAAACTCAATCACATGGAGCATTGTCATACCTTTACAAGCAGTTTTGGCTTCAGTAGCGTGATGGTGACGGATCTGACCTTAGTGACAGATCAAACCTCTCAAGGTCATGATCAGAGCACCACCTGATCCAAAGCCTAAACACCAGCTGGTCACCGGCTCCGTATTTTTAGCTTGTACTGATGTTAAAATGGAAAAAAAACCCACACCAGTCGCACACTGTGTCAGCTTCAACTTGTTATTGTTTATTTATATGATCATTATATCTTTATTTTGAGCTTGTAGCTTGCAAGAACATTGTAAAAAGTCACTCAAGCTGCTTTTTCATCACCTCAGACACATTTATTGTCATTAACATGCAATGTTGGAGTGACGGACTGTCAGTGTGAGCGGCACTTTGCACTTTCTCTGCCCCCTCAGATCTTTGGGTGTTCACTAATCAGCTTGTTTGAATTTAAAAGGATTGAAAAATTATCCCCATCCTAGAAAAGGTTCTTACCCTTCACCCAAAAGTTAAAGGAAGCACTTATTTTTGATTTGAGGAATAAGGACACGAGTTTAAGTCATCTCGAACCGTGCTCTGTGATTTTTCCACTGTTTAAAAAATCCTCTAAGACATATTTTATTCATTATTCCTAAGAAAATCATAAAGATAACCAGGTGGTAACAATACATTGATTGTTGTTAGCTTTTCTAATGAAAGCCTAAATACCTCCTCCTAAATATAAATTAACTGCAGTCACTGGGATCACAAATTCACGTCTGGAAGAGTCGGGCTCAAACTGAAATCTATAGCTTTTCCCTCAGCTAATTATTGAGAGAACAAATCCCAATCTTCTGCCATAATCCTGAGCTGTAATGACCGGATCTATTTAGTGATTTAGGTCTTCTTGCCCGGCCCCATTTTCCGAACACAAAGCGAGTCCTTTTTATTGATGGAGCAATTGAAGCGTTATCTGTGTTTCGGAGGAGTGGGGCGTGAGAGAGGAGGAGAGAGAGACATAGAGGAGTCAAGGAGTCACATTGACTCCTGTTATATCAGATGATACATCGACAGTGACTCATTTCAGACTCGTGTGACAGTACAAAAAAAACTGTGCACTGATACTAACAGGAAGTAAAGGTATAATGTAATGTCACAATCTTTTTACCTATGCTTAGAGTCAGTTTGACAGGACTTTCCTCTCAAATGAAAATATAATAAAGGCAATAAAGTTTAATTGTATAACATATGACTAATATATGAGTTATATGCCCCATTTTGAAGAACCATATCCAGGTGAAGTTTTCTTTAAAGACCAACTCTGATTAAAATGTTTTTCTTGTTGTCTACATGTTGATGTGGCATTTTTCTGATGCTCGAGGACATATCATGAGAGAACAAAGTGTGAAATTGTATTTCTGAGTATTTCTGTATTTAAATCACTCTCACAGACCCAAACGTAGGATTAGACTAGGGTGACCACTTTTTTGGGGGGTTGTCTGGCCTTGTCAAGGGAGTTTATAAGATCCTTCAAATGTCCGGGGTTTTGTATGGAAGCTTTGAGTTTGTGTCGTGTGGACAAACTGAGTTAGAAGTGTGTAAAAAACACTCAACCCAACCAGAAAAACTCTTGAAATTAACAATGCACGATCTTTGACTGCATATCTGAGGTCTTCTGTTCCAGAAAGTAATAGTTTAACATAAACCCATTGCGCAATGCGACGTCGAAATGACATCTATTTAACGTATTTTTTCGACAATGAGGTACAAATGTGGACGTCATTTCAACGTCTAAAAGAGGTCCAATATTTACGTCTAAATCTTGGATCCATTTTGCATGTTGTGCCGACGTCCAGATTTGGTCTTCAGATAATGACGACGACTAAAAAGGGTCCAATTTGGACGTCAAAATTTCTAACCTATTTTGCACTTCGCACTGACGTCTAGATGTGGTCTTTGACGGAACGACCTAATACTGACTTGATCTGCACGTCTCTTTGACATCCAATGTTTGTTGGGAAACGACACCATTTTACTGAAAGGTACTGCAAACTCCTTTATCACTCATGCAGTCCATAAACTTTGTTGAAAATACTAAGACAACCTAAACTGAAATTGTACACAGCTGTAGAAGAGTCTAATATGATTCAAACCTTGGAAGATTTGATCATGTTTGATAGAAGATGATGATAAAAAAAAGAGAGAGGAAAATCTTCCAGCTGCAGTTAGCATAATATAATAGCATGTTTTTATCATTCTCTCCTGATGAATACCTTTAGCCTCATCCTGGCCCTTAATGTCGAGGATTTTAACAAACCATCCAGAACTAATCTCCTTCAAAACTTTTGCCACTGACTCTATACATGTCTAGTGAAATTTGGGGCATTTGACTCACAAAATGCAGCTGCTCATCTGAAAGAGCAATCCCCACGATGCTCCATTTATTATTCATCGATGTGGGGGGAGGAAAAAAAAAAACGAGAGGATGAGAGGACAGAAAACGAGGTCTGAAACTTTTTAAAGACGAGGCAAAGTGCTGACTTGTGAACACTGGAGCTGAGATGAGCAGAGATTTGAATACAAACAGGTGGGAGGTGGGAGGGAGAGTTGTTTTGTACAGCGTGCCAAAGCCCTTCGTAAGCATTAAGCGAGATCTGTGCTACTCGGTTTAATTAGCTCAAGAGCCAAGCATGTGGTTCAAATTAGGATGAGACTTTTGGAGAATAATAATAATAATAAAAAAAAAAAAAAAAAAGGCAAGAGGCAAAGTCAGAGTGGGATGAGTAATGAATGGTTTCAGTCATGATGCCTGGTACAGCTGGAGCTTCATAGAGAATAGTTGGAAAAGGTTTCTAAAAGTGTCCTGATTCAGCGGAGTCTGTGTTTTTTTTCACTCCTCTTTGGAAGGAAAGTAATGATTCATTCACCCCCAGTGCTTAATTCATCGAGCATCTTCCTTTTTAATCTTTCCTTTCTGCTCCATCTCAACTGTTTACTTTTTTTTTTTTTAAAGACTATGAGATGCTTCCTTTCTTGATTCAAGAATAATCCACATTTTTCCAGCAGGATGGGTATCGTTAAGATTTATATGAATCCGATTTTGATTCTGGTTCTGCTTGTCGATTACGATTCCAAGCAGGTGAAAAATAGGAAGCTAAATGGTAACGTTTTCTTTTATGGAACGCTTATTACCAGGTAATTACCATAATGAAACTTCCTGTTCTGGCCTCAATAAATAAGCCAAAGGCAAAAGAGTGAAGACGGAGTCAGGTTAGAGAGTTACGATCGGAGTAAGTGTTAACACAGACGCGTTTCGGAATAAAAATCAGCATTAAACCACCCCTCTTGTTCGGAATACAATTTCTTTCTGATTGAGCCGAATTGGATCAGAATCTTCTGATCGACATGTTTACATGACGCATTTTTATTCTTATTGGGCATTTATTCTGATTACTTGTGCCCATGGAAACGCAGCTGATGTCACCAACTTACACGTCCTCTGCTGTCTTCCTGCAACAAGTGTGATATCACGAGACGTCAGAATGACACTTCTCCACAAATGAGATCTTGTTGTAGACAGTCCCCCCTGTTATCTTCATATTTAACCTACACACAAGAGTTGAATCATCCCTCTTAGCTAGCTCTTTAAAAAGTAAAAATGCAATCCTCTAAAATGCATTAACAGATCTTTCCTCATGAATTCTGCATCTGTTTATGAGAGAGGGTGTTTGTGCAAAGGTGGGAACCTCGAGTAATTAATCAATCACACCTCTTGCTACTACATAGAGATGGTTTGTTAGCTGAAACAGAAACAATTATAGCTTTTCACCCACTTTACTCTTTCCTCTAATATGTTCCAAGACCTTTCTCTGTCTCTTTGTAAAAGGCCGGGTTCATATCTCCCATTGTGCAGCTGGGTAGAATGATTGGATTTCTCTTTTATGGGGTGCTGTCAGTGGATTCAGCTCCTGATAGTAGAAAGAAGAATGAAGCTGTGAGTGAGGACGGTACTCCTGAGAGGAAGAGCGACAGGGACCTTAGGCTCCACGGGGACGAAGTGAGGAGGAACGCCGGGTGGCTGGGTGGAATAAGGTGCCGTATTCACTGAGAGGAGAGAGAAAAAGAGGTTGAAAGCCAGACGGAGTGGAAAAGTAATGAATCTTATTACATGACATCTATGTTTTTTCAGTGGGAGACGAGAAGGTCAAGAGTCATGTTGCAGGAGATAGAGCTCATTACAGAGCACTGATGTCTAAGGCTTGAGCCGCACAATCACACGTCACTATTTTCCCACCAAATATCAAGGTCAACGAGTCCTCGTGCTTAAATGGCAAAAAGGTGGTTGGTCACCACCTTTGACAATGGCACAAGACGTTTTGATGCAATGCAAACCTGTTCCTTACCGATAGTTAGGAATGAATTAGAAAAGAGAACTGCAGCCATTTGATATCAGGGGTTAAAGGAAAAATAGTAACCGTGTTAACAGAAACCATTTACCGTTATAGGTGACTGGCCTTTAATGAAAATACTGATTGCCGCCCTTAATGCTGCCTTTTACCTTCCTCCACCCTCTATGTAATAACATTAAACGTTAGAAAGGTCAAATTTATCATTGTGGGGGAAAAAAAATCTCAATAAGGTAGGAATTGTGTGTCACAGTATTACCTGTGTAAAAGATAATGTACTATTTCATTGGTCTGTTATGTTCACTGAGGCAAAACGAATGTAATCTTACACTGGAGCCATGTAATCATGGTTGCTCATTTTATTCTGAAAATAAAAAAAGGAAAGTATTTAAAAAAAGGGAAAAAATATGCAGAGTAAATTTAAATAAAAACATTAGCCGCCATGTTTAAAGCTCATGCTTTTCACTGTTGTGAGTGAAGACTAATGCAGTCGGATGTCGGAGCTGGAAATGACGTTACACCCGAGTTGACGGTATTTCAGTAAAGAAATCGGAAAACCAAGATGGATGCTTACTGTTAGCCATTGTTAGCTGTTGTTGACAATTGTTAGCTGTTGTTGGTCATTGTCAGCCGTTGTCAGCGGTTGTGAGCTGTCGTTAGCCGTTGTCAGCAGTTGTAAGCTGTTGTTAGCCGTTGTCAGCTATTGTTAGCCATTGTCAGTGGTTGTGAGCTGTTGTTAGCCGTTTTGAGTGGTTGTGAGCTGTCGTTAGCCGTTGTTAGCGGTTGTGAGCTGTCGTTAGCTGTTGTTAGCGGTTGTGAGCTGTCCTTAGCCGTTGTCAGCTATTGTTAGCCATTGTCAGTGGTTGTGAGCTATCGTTAGCCGTTGTCAGCGGTTGTGAGCTGTCGTTAGCTGTTGTCAGTGGTTGTGAGCTATTGTTAGCCGTTGTCAGTGGTTGTTAGTTGTTGTTAGCGATACCAGTCATAAACAACACATAACACAGTATTTTACTCTTACAAACACCATAGCACCGTGTTCACAGTGAGACATTTGACAGTACAACATAAACCACGTACTTAATTTCACAAAAACAAAACAAAAGTGCTAATAAAAAATAGATTTTGAGGGCTTTCACCGTTCCTCTTGGATTATGACGTTGTAGTCAAATCGGGGTTGGTGAGGATTGTTTGACTTTTTGAGTCAGAAATCTGATTTCAGGGGGGCGTTCCAGATGAATTTCCGACTCTGAGCTCGGAAATTCCAACTTCCGAGTATAACTGGAGCGCAGGAAAAGTGTAACCTAATGTATCTGTATGTTAAAGCTCCTGTGAGGGAACAAGCGAGAATTAAAACCCAAGTCTGTACATGACTTTTAAAAGCAGGAAGGGACATTTTTCATGGTGAGAGGCGTTATCTCACAACTGGATTATTTTTAGTCTTTGCTGTTCAACATTTGCAGACAAGGGTTACTTTGCTGAAATGTTTACACTCCTTAATGAGTTTATTTCTATGTATACAGAAAGCACAACTCAGGAAAATTCTTATTTAATTGCGACTTGATAAGATATGAAACAACACCGGCACAAAACTTGAAACGCTTATTTGTTTTTGAAGTTATTTGGAAAGAGTTTCTAAAGAGACTCACAAACAGGAGCCTGAGCTGAAACAAACACTATGACAGAGCTTAACTCGCTAATTTAGATGATGACTCACCGTTTATTTCTCATAATCATACCGAAATTATATTCGTCAGGTTTTGAGCTGTTAGTGGAAATAAAAACAAGATACTGAACTCTGGGATAATTTTCACAGTATTATATGTATATACTGAAAATCTTGATGAACAAACACAATCAGCAGATAAAAAGTTAAAGGAATAGTTCACAAAATACCCACACTTTAAAGTAATCATACCACAATGTAGAGATTCCGGTGAATCTGTTAAATAAACGTATTTGCTTAAAAATGTGAGTCCCTTTAACAGCACTGGAAGACTTGCATTGTACTTTTTTTGTGAACTGATTCTAGTGATTCAGTACATCTAAAAGAACTGCCGTGCCCATCACTAGTGCTTCCAATGCAGAAAATGCCTTCAGTGGAAACAGGCCCTAACATTGTTAAGAAAATAACTTTTAAGATAAATCTGTCAAACTTTTCCCATGAAACAACAAATTTCTTCGCCTTCCTCTCCTCTCATATTTATCCACCCTCTCAGTCTTTCTCACGCTTCTGTCCTCAAATCCCTTCATTCATTTTCATCCGGTCGAGAGGGTGCAAGGGGGTTTTAGCCGGCGCACATTCGATGGGAGATATAACAGTAGTAACGTTCTCTTTTAACATCGATGACAGGCCTTGTTATCTCTGTGCCGCTCTGCCCCTGAGATGCTCACCACCGGGTGTGCAGAGGAAGCGATTAGGATTATTTAAATGTCAATTTATTTTCTTTTCCCATTATCGTGTACGTGCTTCCTGCTCTGTCAGAAGGGAGAAGTGTCTTGTAAGAAGCCGATGTAATTTAGGTCGACGAATCACATTTTATTTCTGGGCTCAGTGGGAGTGTGAGGGCTGGGATTTGTGAGTCTTTCTTTTTTTTTTTCTTATGTTCCCACCTCTCTCACAGTTCTACATCTGCTTTATTTTAACCTCTTAACACTGCTGCAGCTCAGCTTAATTAAAAGTACACACAGGAAAAAGTTACGAAAGAGGAAAAGTTTTATCTCTTACAATTTAAAGAACTAAAGCTTAAAATGATTTGTGAAAATGAAAGACAGCTGTTAAAGTGGACAATCTGACATTGTGATATGCACTTTAAGATAACAACAAGATTAAAGCTTTTTATCATCAATTTCTGCCATATGTGAGTACATACACAGGCATTGAAAAAGACGTTTCTCTCCAGCCCATGGTGCAAAAATGCAGAGTATATATTAAAACAATAGAAAAAAAGTATAATAAAAGCCTATCTGTAGTTTTGCCACACAGAGGCAAGGGTATCCTACTAAATAATCTAAAAACTATGAATTTTTTAATTTAATATGTAATGTGCTTTGTTGAAAACTCTATTCTTGATGTCTACAGGAGGATTTCACATTAGATACAATTTCAGTCGTTACTTTAAATGAAATCTGCTGTTTCCAGATGGCTTGTAATGTTGGGCAAATATTCCTTTAAACAGGCATGTTTGATTCAGGTTAGAAATGAACGCACAGAGTCAGTCTCTCAGCAGATGTCAGTGAAAAATAACCCTCCAGTATTTCAGACAAATGTACTGGCTTTATCTGCAACTCCATGTGATTATACTACCTTCCACATACTTATCATAATACACACTCAGACTGTCGGTTGGTATGATGTTACAGCACATAAATGCAATTTTTTTCCCAGGTCTTACAAATTTATCAGTCACAACGCATGATGGTTGAGTGAGTGAGTCTATTAGCAGCATGAATGACTTAATGAAAATGTGCCAACAAAAATATACAACAAATTCAATAAACCATTGCTTTTTTCTTCAACTTCACCATCATTATTGCCCAATCAGAAGCAGAAGTGAAAGATCTAGCAATGTTGTTTTTGCATGTTATTCTCAGCTTATAATGAAATGTTGAGGAAGATCTCATAATGATTGTTTGAGGACTTGGACTAGGGCTGGGTGATATGGCCTCAAATTAATATCACAATATATTGAGCAGTTGAACTCGTTAACGATAAATTGATGCTAACTTTTCCACAAGCGGCTCACCACCTCCCACATTAACTTCATCTACTTCAGCCGCTACAACTTTTACACCGTCCTCCATCTCCTCACCTGTCTTTCCCTCTTTGTTACCGACTGGATTGGGTGGAGTCATGTCTCCGACGTAGGACAGCGTCTTAAAGGAACATGAGACCATAGCCTACCTACACACCTAAAACCAACTTTTAATTATTATTATTTTTGACACCAAATATATATTGTCACGGTCAAAATGACTAAGGTTATTGTAGTAAAATTCTGTATCGGTAAATTTTCAGTGTATCGCCCAGCCTTAACTTGGACACAAATGGTGCTGGGCATAAATAGAACAAAAGCGGTCTGAATGGAAGCCCCTTTGCTGTCAGTGCCACAAACCGAAGGGGGCGGGTGTTTGTTATCAATCAATCAATCATCATTTTTATAGCACTTTTCATACAGGGTAATTTAGCATAAAGTGCTTTACACAGAAGACGAAAGAGGGAAAAAAAAGGACAAAGAACGACAAAGAATACCCCCAATCCAAGCACAACAGATGCAAGTTTTACTCAAGAAGAGCTCGATTTAGTAAAAACAGAAATATGCTTACTGAGGAAACGCCATTCTAGAATTCAAGGTGTGGAAACACTGAAGGCTGGGTTAAAATCTTGAGACAAAGAAACATAAAATACAACTTAAGAAGTAATAAATATAAAACGAAGTAAAAAGATACTAAAATAAGAACACCAAAATAGCTCAATATAGGACAAGTCTGACATTAAAACTAGAAAGAGATAAATGCCAAAACACTCAAACAGAATTAAGGTGATGATATAGAACTTAGTTAAAAGCAAGATTAAAAAGGTAGGTATTAAGTTTGCTTTTAAAATCGTTTAGATTAGATGTAGCCCTCAGGTCTTCGGGTATTGTTAACAGAGAACTTCCTGCAGACCTGACCTGCCTTGACTGGGCTCATATGATAAAAGTAGATC